CCAGTCGTATAGCTAATCTTTACTTTATTGTTATTGTACGTACGATTTTCTGTTCAAGTGTCTTAGCCACAAGTAGTGGTTAAAGTGTGGGTGCATTTTTGTTCCGTTTAGTTGAAATAAAAATGTTATTTTAAATTTCTCTTGCAGTCATCTGTTCTTTCAAGACCTAGCGAGAATTCTCTCTTTCGTCTTTCAGTAGAGTCTATCTGTTTTATGTTTCCTAAACATACTATAGAAGCCTCTATATAATGATAACCCGCAAATAGATTTATATTAATTAAACTAACCAGCCAAAGAAAAAACTGTTTTTCTCAGTACGTTTTATTTAGTCAATGTTTAATAGTCGATGGCTCTAATTGGAGCAAAGTGAAACTAAATAACATTTGTACCATTAACACACTTATTTCTGCATAAAAATAAATTGAAAAAAAAAAAAAATAACCGCTTTGGCTGCGACAAATAAATTTTCTCTCGCTGTGAAAGACAATTTTTCTTTACACAAGTCAATAATTTCCTTTTTATAAAAAGAAAATACTTTCAATCGTAAAAAAATGCACGTATTTAATTAAACAAAGAGCTGAAAATGATATCGGGAAAGTATTTGTATAATTTAAGATTTCAGTTTGCAGAAAAATAAATATATTCTTTCATATTTTTAAACGAGCACTTCATTCCTCTTTCGAAATAGCGAACGAAATTTGAATTTTATTTTTCTATCTTTATTTCGGAGGATATAAATTAAATAACAATTGTTCACGCATTTTAATAAAATTCGGATTGGAAAATTGCATAGTAAATCGTTTTTGCTAAATTCAGTCATTTTGATGAGAACCCATTTTTAATGACGGATGTTTTTTCTAGACGAAGTGTATGGATGAATCTGTTTCTATAATTCTCGTTTTATTTTTTTAATGCTTGTAAGAATTTTTGACCATTAGTCGTGAATATGCGCCTTAATGTTTAAAATGGCAAGACGGACTATTGTAATAAACGCATATGTATTGTAAATAAATTTAATTGTAATGACGTTTTGAATTCAACCATACGACCCGACGATTTAATGATTACAAACGTTGCTTAAAATTCTTCCATATGTAATAATTGATAAAATATTTTCGAAAGATAAAACAAATTATTATATCTGATTTTTTTAAACCAAATTATTATGGCAGGCAAGACTTGTATGACCTAATCAGAAAAAAGTCCACGAATTTTTTCGTCGTAGTTCGTAGCCTACATTGTGCAGGTGTGCGTAGTTCAGGTCGCCGCTACTACATTGTGCCATTCGTATGTTTTTTTAAGTTAAACATGTCGCTGTGTACATGGATCTGTTCAAATATTTTTTGGTTAGAAACTTTACGTTTTTGCTATCTAATTTTTTGTTTTTTGTTTCGGATTTTTAGCTTAAATCGTGTGTTCAAAACGTAGTTTTTGCATGTGGCGAAAACGCGTTTTTGGAGACATTTTAGGCTTAAAGTTCGAAATATAGACAAGAATCCATGTACACAGCGACAGGTTTTAACTTAAAAAAACATCTACGAATGGCACAATGTAGGCAACGAACGAATCTACGAACTACGCACACCTCGCTTTAATAAATTAACATAAGGTTGCCGTAAGTAGGGTCGCCAAATTTGGCGATTTATGCGAATTTTGGCCTGGTTGCGTTAATACGTAAGTACCGACAGCTTTTTTCATTTTTGTTAAAAATTAGCAAGTAATATCAATTTTAAGATATTATTATCAAATGGAATTTAATTTACAAAAAGTATTAATATATTTTGTATTAATATATAAAGTAGTACATCAAAAAAATAAAATTCGCGATAAACATCAAATAGCATAACAACTAAAAAATATTTAACAGATTTGCTCGAATTTGTACTTTCTACGAGAATTTCGAAGAGCTTGATTTTAACGTTTCCTCCCTTTCGGGTCTTCCTACTTAGAAATATTATTCATTTTTCAAGTTGTTTAATATTTACACTAGAAGTTTCTGTTTGCAAAATTACTTTCCACTTATGACCATTATGTAAGAAAGCTATTACTCACGCTTAAAAATCTGAATTTCATGATTAGGTGTATGTAACAAGCAAGCACTTCAATACGTCGTACAAAAGTGAACTATAATTCAATTAAAATATCATTCTCTAGAAATAACCTATTTCTTAATAAAATGAGTTTATTTAGTTTATTTTAAAAGAAATTCAGCAACTTTTTAAATTGAAATTAAAACAAACAATCGTCTCGCATATATATCCTGACCGGGGTCCCAAAGGGTTATTCTCGATGCTCCCCAGTATTCAATATTTATGTTAATGGAATTGCGCAACTACTGTAAGACTTTAGCAGCACAAAATTCTTTCATCCGTACAGCAATCCAAGTATTACAAAATGACACTCAAGCAATAGAGGCCAAGATTACATCTTGCAAGATCCTTAATCAACCTAATGTTCGAGTGCTCCTTTCCATGTGCTACAAAGAATTTCCTCTTAGTAATAAAAGTCATAATCAGAAGAATTGTTCTTCTGTCCTTGCATTTATTTTAATCAATTTGCTAATTAGCCTGTCATGACAGATGCGTTCGAGGTTTTTGCAATGCTCAGCGTAAGTAAGACAATACTTTTTTTGTTATTTAGGACAGCCCCTACAAATTCAGTCATTCATATTAGTTTGCACTGAAAAGGTTCTTTCTGAAACCGAGTTGTTCAATGGCAAGTAATTTAAGATAAATATTCATTATATAATAATTCAAAAACTTTTCTTGTCCCTGAAAGCAGGTTAATTGGTTTATCGTCTGGCTTGGTGATGCCCTGGTCTGGCTTGAGAAGGAGATTATTTAGTGCCATTTCTAAAAGTCTTGAAAGTAGGAATTTGTCAGACAGGCATATTAATAATGTTTGCACGGTAATGTTAATCTTTAGTCTTTTGCTTGTATATTGGACGCCGTTTGGAATTGGTAGTTAGGTTAGCCTCCTTTTTTCGTTGTAGCGGCATTTAACCGGTCTCTAACATGGTAGCACAATTCGTAAGTAAAGTTTACATTCTTAAGATAAACATTTGGTGTAAATTTCTTCTCTTCGTGACCCGCGAAGAACTTCCATTTCATTATGTTAGGTTATTTAATTACGCAAAGCCTCGAGGGCTATATGCCTAAAGAGAGGAATGCCTTCGTGGAGGACATTCTAAGGGAAACTGGCTCGTATACACATTACACATAGGGAAAACCACGAAAACACCCATGCAGCCAGCCCGTTCGCGGGATTCGAATCTCGGACCGAACTACCAGTGTTCAGCGACTTTACCGCTCGGCCGCTGGTGGGCCCATTTCATTAGGAAAAGCTATACTATTTTCGATATAAATAGGTTTCTTACATGTATACGGTTTTTTTACAGCTACTTGTTTAAGTAAATCCAAAAGGAGTTGCCTTAAGCCTTTATTATTCCAAATAAAGTTTAACAAAACTCCGTCTTGGAGTGTCCAATAAAGCCGACACTTGGGCTGTGAACTTAAGAGACTAAGAATAATACTAAACTAATTTAAACTAAAGGAGGTATAACCGAAGCTATCAACATTTTAACAGAGTATGCCCCTTAACGTTAATAGACTGCGAAGCTAACAAGGGCCTAAAGTACGGCCAAGCGTAATAATAGCTTACGAGAGAGTAGCCTTAAAAAAAAAACAGACGCGTGCAGACAGAATACCTCATATTTCTCTCACTAAGACCGAAGAACTTCGCGGTTAAATACGATCTTCCTTATTATGTATTCAGACGTGATTCTAAAACTACGTTCTGGCCGGAAGTGTAAGTTGAAGTTAAGAATTTACAGGAAAGGAACTTTAGCTCAAAATTTAACTGTTAATAAAATTAACATAATCCCCATAGGCGTTTGATCCCGTCTTGGATGAAGGCCTCACATAGAAGCTTACGAAGATGAATTTCCTTTGAGTAAGAATAACTGAAAGATCGTATTAGACTGTCATTTACGATGACAAATCCATTCGTAATTTGAACCTCCATATAACGGTTAGAACATCTGCGTTCGCCTAATATATGTCACATTTTACTTGACATAATCTAAATACTAATCTAACTTTCTTAGACAATGCTAAAAGGAAAAAAAACGGACTTAAAAAGCATTCTAAAACATTTATCTTCACTTCAAATTGAAACTATACGAAATTAAAATGTTAAAAATAATAACATTCGATTCTTATAGGTGTACAATTATGGTTTAAATGACATACAAGTCATAATTTAAATTTTAAATTAAATAATAAAAGCCAAATAAACTGGCTTATCTGCCCGACGGCTATTAACACAATTTCAGTCAGTCGCATCAGTTCATAACACAGTAACACAGGCCTGAAAAACAAGCACTAACAGGGGAGTTTGACAACGTGAAGCTAAGTTGCCAATTCTTTCTCCTAAACTTAGATTATCATTTAGTACTTAAACTCCTTTCATATACATATAATGGCAATATTCATGTAAAAGTTAGAAGTGTAGAAAAGATTCAACGTAGAAAATTACGAGTTAATTGAAATAAATCTTTAAAAAACTTCCTTTTTTCCCTCTTACACTATCCCATCACATTGCCCATACCGTTCAGTGCATTTTTCTTCAGCTTTTAAATTTTGCTTTAAGGTGGTTTATTTAAATGTTTTAGTATTTTGTTTTGTGAAAAACATGGAAATGCTATAACTGTGTATATAATAATTACTGCCCAGCACCTCGTGAATCCCAGATACACAGGGCACGTTAACACATGCTGTATGTGCTATCACGATAAACCGTATTTGACTCAGATCATTGATAGTCAGTTCTGAAATCTTATACCATGCATTTAGTACGAGATACTTTGGAAAGTATAACACATAGAATATCACAACATACATACTGCAAAATATAATACTGACTTGCAAAGATTCGATTTAGAAGCAGTCTTGCGTGCCCTAGAATCTACAACTAAAAGCAGAGATGAGGGTCTAACTTACCAGACTCTGAAAAGAGAAAAATATAAAGCGTCATAATAAACTACAAAATGCGAAAGCAAAACAAAACAAAAAAGTGGGAGCATTATTAACGAACTAAGAGAGAAGAAGCATTTTATCAAAATAAAAGGAATGACAAAAATACAGTTAATGTTGGGTCTATGCATAACTTCGTAGCATTTTATTAAGAAACAGCAACACTACGCTACCAAATTTCATTTTTCGTTATTCCTTAGTTTATAGGTTTACACTCGTAAAAACACAATGTATTCAGATTCCAAGCACATTTTGCCTATTTCCCATACGAAATAAGTTGTAATAAATAACGAGTGAAAAAAATTGAACATTGCAGCACATTCTTTCGAGTATATCTGAGAATTAAGTACAGCAGAAGTGGTAAAGGCAATTTGTACTATGCGCATGAAGTAATGTCATTGCTAGAAATGTGACAAGAAAATGATTCTTTCTTCATTTTGTATCTTCACAAGAATCCTCGTCAAACAACTCGCGAATCAAGAAAATATACAGAATATGACCACTTTTTGTAAACATTTTCTTATAAGCACTTTCTAATTCTATTTTAATACTGTTGCGTGCGTACGGGTTCGTAATAGATTGAACGCACACAGGTCCGATGATAGGTTAATAAAACTTATTTTATCAATAGAAACACTTCAAAGTTCTGGAATTTTCCACAGAAATATTCTTATAGCTGTTCCCAATAATACACAGTACAATCAGTAGTTACGCTTCAAACTACTTAGAGCATTAAACACAATGCAATGCAAAGTGCATCTAAAGAGAAAGCTAACCTGGAAATGTCTCCTATCTCAAGCTGGATTGAGAACTCGCAACAATAACAACAACAAAAACTGACAGCAGATGCTCTATCCGACCTTATATAGCTTTGAAAGGGCAACCGAGATATTTCTAGTACTTTCTGCATTTCGAAATTACTGGAACGCAATATGAGAGTCAAATTACCTTTGCAGCTAGTACAGTGATCAATTACAATACTTATTACGGTGATGCAGGGGTCGGACCAAAATGCAGGGGTCGCCAAAGCATGATGCAGGTGATGCAGGGGTCGCCAAAGGGTTGTAAAGTTTGGCAACTTTTGGCAATTTCTCACCAAATTTGGCGATGAAAAAAAGTCCCCGAAACGGTTGTCTGCTTGGTGATGTCTCGCCAAATTACGAGATACCCATTTTCTCAATGTTAAATACATATGTCCCTGTATTCGTTTTTTCCGACATAGCTTCTCTCTTGAGATTTGTTGCGTTACATTACATAGAAAAATACAACAATTTCACATGTCTATCTAAAATCGTTTATCTATGTACAAAATACGAAACAATACATATAAATTATTGTATATCTCTGTTGTTAAATAAGGAAGAATCTGTATGCCTGTATGTATATTCTACGCATCGTAAAAAAACGGCGGCAAAGGGCCACCAGGTTTTTGAAACACGTAGTCCGTCCCCCGAAAATGTGGACATCAGACTTTGATTTTTAATAGCCTTTCTGCGCTTAGACCAGTGCACCACTGAGTAATTAAGTTTTAAACATGATACCTATGTATTTGTATTGTTTAGTTATGTATTTGTTAATTAATGTTATGCTCTACTTTTTACATAATGTATCATAAAATGTACTCATTACTCAGTTTATCACGTAAGGCTTCACTCGTAAAATGCACTGAGTGACTAGAAATTTACTTTGAGTAACCCCTCCTTTAAAAAAAAATTTTTTTTTAAATTTATATCAGAATCACCTCAAGTATTGATTAAATTTTTACAACACTTTGAATATTATTATTCAATTCCTGCGTCAAGTATAGTCTTCAATAATTATTATATCTGTCATTTTACATATAATAAAACTGTTTCACTGAATCATTTAATGTAATGCTTTATTTGCTGTCATGTTTGTAAGGTGTGTGTAGAGTAAATGAGGCAACTGTTTAAAACAACTAATGTAATCACCTAATGCAATGTATTATCGTATTTTGGTTCACTCATATATCACCTATTTACATAATTCTTAAATAACTATTTATGCGTTATAAAATATTTAACATTTAGTTATATTTTACTTATAGTATTATTCGTACTTTATCATAGCTCTATTTCATAATATTAAGGCATTATAGTATGGAATACCACTAAATTACGTATTCATGTATGTTATCACTAAATGCACTATATTATTGTACTATAATATAATACATTGATGTTTTGCCTATTGTGATATGTAGCAACTTATGCAAAATCATTTTTGTAAATCATCAATCATTTTGTAATCATTTTTGTAAAGTACTTTTCTGTGACATTCCTCATTAAGAGCAATTAATGAGGTCTGGTCTTTCAGCCACTGTCTTGTTGTGGTGGCTGCTTGTTGTTTTTTTCACTGATCAGGCATTCCGTTCGGTTAGTTCGGTTATACCTTAGGTCGGAAGCCTGGTCAGTGGCGCATAACCAGAACCCCTTTGGGCTAAAAAAAAAAAAAAAAAAAAAACAATCATCAGAATTTAATCATCAGAAATGTAAAAATATCTTGATTTAATCAAGTTAAAATTGGTTAAAAATTTTTATAATATTGAAAAATTAATTTTGAAATGAAGCAGTTTAGAGAGATTTATTATAGGCATGTTAATACGCATGTAATATAAAGGGGAAATAATCAAATTGAAGAAAATAATTAACAGGCTATTTCGTATTAAAGTGAGGATGTGTTATGTGTTACCTGTTCTTTTATCTTACATATAAGTACATGGGTTTCTAGTGCGTAGTTATTGAAAAAAATCCTTCTCATATACGTAAAACTACATTTTTATTTAGAAAGTCCTTTTAAAAAAGAGATGTATAAACACTTAATTTGTCCGAACGTTAATCGCCTAACTTAAAAAAGATTTTTCCCCGCAAATTATGCTCTACTTTACCTGCATGTCTGCTATTCATTAAAAAAGATTTTATTATAATATTCTCTATAACATGAAAGCTATCTGCCTAAGGGAAGGGATGCCTTCGTGGAGGACTTTCTAAGGCAAACTGGCTCGTATACACGTTACACATGGGAAAACCACCAAAACGCCTATGCAGCCAGCCCGTTCGCGGGATTCGAACCTCGGACCGAACTACCAGTGTTCAGCGACTTTACCGCTCGGCCGCTGGTGGGACAAGAAAGTAGAAATCGACTGAGAGCGAAGGCAGAAAGCGATGCAAGTGATTGTTCGATTGGCGCTCGCAGCCTCTGATGCGTCCCTATCAACGATCCGACGTGTAATCGAGATACCAGTGACTGCAATATCCAGTTATAGGCAACTCAACGAACAGGGATTGATGTCACAGAGGATACTGCGCCGATTGCCACTAAACGTCGCACATGGCGAGTGGTTTGCAGTGGTGCTACGCGCATTCCATATTGTGAAGATAATTGTCTGATCGCGTTATAAAAACTAGGTGAATTATTTTCTGATTTAAGAAAATCTTAATTTTATTTAATTCTGAATTATTTATTTTAATGCTTTAATTTTGGGGAAAAACAGATGCTTCTAAGAATATTATTTAGTTTCAAAGAATATTATTTATTTTCCTTTTATTTGCAATTTTTGTCCAAGCTTTGATTCATTGTGAAAAGAAGCAGGGAAGGGAGGCAATTTTGCTAAGTCATGATTTGCGCGTTTTGTCCTTTAGAATGTTCTAGAAGAAATTTCTTTGTGCAATTGACCTTTAGGACAGTAAGTACGTGACAGAAGGGTCAGAGGTTGCTACTTAATCTTCGATGTAAGTCATTCTGTTTTGGCGATCGGGGGTCCGGCTGTTGGCTAAGTGAAGAGAGGCGCGTATGTGTCATCACCCTAATTCGGTCATTCGGGGAAAGAAACGCAAATTTTGTCCAGATTAAGGGGGCGATAAATGAAGCCATTGTGGGAGCCCGTGTTTGTGAAGGAGACTGAGAAAATTCGAGTTTGACTTAATTTTGGACTGACCTTTGACTAAGACTGTAACTTCGAGCTTGCTCTTGGGTTGAGCGATAGAAAAGGAGATGTAATTTCGTCGTGAGATGTGCTTCCGGCGGGGAGCGGCGATTATGCTCCCCGGCCACGTGTTTCGCAAAAATGCGAGGGAGAAAGAAAAAAAAAAAAAAAATTAACAGAGACTTTACTTTTGGACCGACTTTTCGAAGGTGAGGTAGTGTAATTGAAAGTTTCTGGTGATGAATAAAGGAGGGTAGTTCGTCCTCCAGTTGTGCCTACGACAGGGAACGGCAGTTATGCTATCCGGCCGCAGATTTGCTCTATGCCCTTATCGGAAAAACCAAGGACGATGTCTTTCGGTCTTGTATTAGGAAAAAAAATACCTCGCTTCATAGTCTACGATTTCCTGGTGGAGCTGTGAGTCCATGCGGGCAGCCGTGCGGGGCAGCAGTTCTCTTGCCTTCCAGAGTGAAAATTCTTCGTCGTTAGAAAACCAGTTACCCGGCCGTGTGTTTCGCCAAAAGTGCCAGGACAGGACGATGTCCTCTGAAACTTCGACTTGTAACCGAGGGGCAGTGCCGTTCGTCGAAAGCCTGGAATTAGGATACGAGTTCTCCACTTCAAGATGTCTACCTAAGATAAGTCCTTTTCCTGTGTTTGATGTATTCCTATGAACTTTAAGTAAAGTTCCAGAAACTTCCTTGGAATTTTAAAACCAACATTGAATCTTTAAATTAATTCTAAAGGACTAAATTTGCCTCCCTTTTTCCCCTTCTTAATTTACCGAGACAAACCGGAAAGTCTTAATAAGAAATAGTGGTGTAAAAATATAATTTGTTTGTGTAATCATCCTTAGAATAGATGTTGAATTTCAGATAATGTGTTTCTTTTAACATCTTAGAAATTACAGCAGTAGTTCAAATTAAATTAAATGAGTCATATAGTTGATTTGCAAATCATTGATTTAAATGTAAATGTTAAAAAAATGATAAATTGAAGAAATCACTTGTGTAACTAAAATAAAAAAATTGAGTCTCGAGTTATTAGGATGAAATTTAATTTTAATTGTTGAGGATTTTGAATAAACTTGTATTTTAATCTGGAAACCTATTTCTTATGTTTCTTAATATCTTTTATGTGTTTTCTTATTGTATTTTGCATTTACCTCTTGTTTATCCGATCCTCTCACGGCACGGTCCCGGATTCATTTACACAACGCAATGCACAAAATTTCACTTATACAATCACTAAACGTGTGGAAATTAGCTAACTCTTAAGAGTTTAGTTCTCAGTTGATATTTAGTTATTTACGGTTTCACCTGTCTGTTTCTGCATTAGTTTCCTCCCTAAGAGCAAGTAGAAACACAACATTCACATGGGATCTCACGGAATACAGTAGAATCGTTTTCAACGAAGAATTCCACTTCGAATTGAGCTCGACGACTGGAGTAAAAGTTTCTGGAGGCATCTAGAATAGTGCTGGATTACTCATCTGATTATCGGCAGCTATACAGTAGAAAAATGAGTAGTTATGGGATGTGATGTCATTTCATCTGATAGCCCTTTGATTGTCCTCCGTGATACCTCTACAGCACAGCGGTCTGTCAACGAAACTCTAAGTTCCCGCAGTGTTGCCCTTTCTTTCATGAACTGCTAACATTTCAGCATTATGATTCCCGGCTACAGATTCCCGGCTATTCCCGGTCTTATTCTTGCTTGTCTTCGTGCTTCTCCGACATTTTACGAGCCGACGCGACTGCTAGCTCTCTTCCCAAGGTGTTCCACCGCCCTGAATTGCGCCGATCTTTCTCACAAGAGGACATGGGGCAACTCTACCAGTCGTATAACAGCTTGCATCAGAGGTGGGACACAACATTACTGATTTTTTTTTTGGCGGGGGATTGCTCTTAAAACTATATTTCCTGAACAAAACATTCTATTCCTATGACAATATTAGCGTTTCGTTTTCAATACATGTTCATCACATCTACCCATTTTCGTCTCATTGGGATAAATCCTTCGTGTGTTGCTTTTTTTGTAATAGAGTGTATATTTCCCTTTTAAAACGTTATTCATTTATCAGCGTTGACTTTTCCAGGACTGAAACGGTTTTTGATCTGATAACTCAACAGTAGTTTTAAGTTATTTAAATATGGTATGTTGCCCTTTCTTTCATGAACTGCTAACATTTCAGCATTATGATTCCCGGCTACAGATTCCCGGCTATTCCCGGTCTTATTCTTGCTTGTCTTCGTGCTTCTCCGACATTTTACGAGCCGACGCGACTGCTAGCTCTCTTCCCAAGGTGTTCCACCGCCCTGAATTGCGCCGATCTTTCTCACAAGAGGACATGGGGCAACTCTACCAGTCGTATAACAGCTTGCATCAGAGGTGGGACACAACATTACTGATTTTTTTTTTGGCGGGGGATTGCTCTTAAAACTATATTTCCTGAACAAAACATTCTATTCCTATGACAATATTAGCGTTTCGTTTTCAATACATGTTCATCACATCTACCCATTTTCGTCTCATTGGGATAAATCCTTCGTGTGTTGCTTTTTTTGTAATAGAGTGTATATTTCCCTTTTAAAACGTTATTCATTTATCAGCGTTGACTTTTCCAGGACTGAAACGGTTTTTGATCTGATAACTCAACAGTAGTTTTAAGTTATTTAAATATGGTAAAGCGCATATGAGTTATCTACCTAAGGCGAGGGATGCATTCGTTGAGGACGTTCGAAGAGGATATTCAAATTCACGTTACAGATATTGAAAGTCATGAAAATCAACCATGCAAGCAGCCCGTTTAATTGGGTTCGAGCCCGGGACGGATGGTTAAGACCACTGTTTAGCGGTTTTAATGATTCGACCATCGCTAGAGTAGACCCAGCAGCAGGTGTCAATGAAATTGGTTCTAGGAAATTTTCGAATCGGTATCACATTATCTTTTTCGCAATGCAGTAGGATCCATTGTCTTACGAAGTTCTTCGTAATTGTGGGCTTACTGGATTTATTAAAAATTAAGGAACTTTCATTCGTCATTCGTTGCTTTATACTATGCTTTGAAACGTTCTGGACTTTGCTACGGAAACTGAGTTATGATTTGTTAATTCATCAAGCACAGATTTCAGTATAATTCAGCGATATCTAAATTTTGCGAAAAAGTGTGTTTCAATATCAAGTGCTATCGGATATTAGAAAAGTATCCAAGTTCATTGCCAGAAACATTTTTGCCATATTTTTAATTTATTAGAGTTTTTCTAACATACTAACATCGGAAATAAAATCGCGTGCACAGATTCACATGTTATTTACGGAATTGCTGGTAAAAAATATCGATTAATCTGTAAACGGTATTTTAGGCTAACTGCCTGATTTATCGGGAAATTCGTTAAATGGTTTACAGATATTAAAATGTTTAGCTACAGATTATTAAGTATCGACCTTAGCTATGTAGTTCTACTGTAGAGTTTTACAAAAGAGGTAGAGAATTTCATGAATTTTTTGCAATTATGGCTAAGGGCTTTCTGTAACTATAAAATGACGAAAGTCGTTTCCAGAAACTGAAGCTGCAGTTGAAGAAGAAAATTCTATTTAGCCTTCGAAACTATATTACTGCAAATTGTTTCGTGTTACGCTGATTTTGTTTTTCTATTAGTATCTTTAACATTCGTTATGCTGTTATAAGTTAAACACAAAAATGTTCCAGACTTTAAAGTGTAAAATTCTAAGATAATTTAGAATAAATTTCGTGACTTAGATTATTTTTTACCGAAATTACGGATCAAAATTCAATATTTTTATAGCGAAATTTAGATAACAAATGAGAAATAAATTCTCTCAAATTCTTATTTTGTAATTAACAATTCTGTATTTTATTGCATTAGGTAAAACAGCCTTTTTTTTTGGTTAAAACTGTATATCACTCTAACAAAGCATTTAATATAAATACTTCCGCGAATTTTAAATACGGATTATTCTGTATTTAAATTTTTAAAGCCAAATGAATTTCTAAAGTTATACGAGGAAGTTATATAACGTAAAACCGCTAAGCACAATAGATACATATACATATATGCCTATATATAGAACAGTTGATAATGTCAAAATTTTACTATTCTTAATAAAACATTTATCAGCGGAAGCTGAAATAGATTAAATGCAATAGATAGATTCTATTGCATAAATCTATTAAAAAATAATTTTTTATTCTTCCTACGCACGTAAGCCACATTTACTGCTCAACTGAAATAAGACAACGTAATTGAATTTAATGCAGACCAAAAACTCAAAACAGATTATTGATTCTGCGTTTATTTTATTCATATTAAATGAATGAGCTATTATTTATTTATGAAAACTAAAACAGTTAACCTTTTATATTAAATACTATAATATATTTAAATCTAATATTAAGACATTATTATTGAAATAAATGATAAAATTACCAATATAATGCACGATATTTAATTTGTAAATCAAAAAATACAAACGCACAACAGAAAATATAAGATTTTATTTAAACAACTCTTATTTTTATATCAAGTCTTTTCTATAACTTCCATTTCTTTATGGCCCTGCATTAGAATGCCCGTTTAGTAGCGTTTGAGTTGGCGTGTTGCTATTAAGGATTTAACTTGCATTAGTAACATTGAGACATTTTTTATCTAGCAGTCAGACCTCAGTCATCACGCGTATAGCCTGTGTTGCTGAGAATGCAGTTGCATTCTAATGAATGACTGAGATTAGTATTGAGTTGATGGGAACTAGCCGGATTCATGAGAAATTTTTACCGTATTTAAATTTGTTTGCTGTTTAGTTTAAGTCAGTTTATTTGTTGTTTAATTGTCAGTTTTACTGACCATAAATTGTGATATGTAACTTTTGTTAAGTTCTGCAATGTATATGATTTGTAACAGTAAATGTCTAAGCAGTATATTATTAATGAGTTACAAACGAAATTTCGGAAAAGTCTAGAATTAATTCTGTAAGGTTTATTTTTTACCTTAGATATTGTCTTTACGTTAATTCTTTTCTAGGTCTTTTTTTCCTCTGTCCTGTCGGCCATCACCGGAATGTGAAGTGGTTTGGATTGGAGTTGTGGCTTTTGACAGAGTGGATTGTAAACAATCCATTACACTGGTTTGACCTGAGAAGAAAAGCTACCATCTTGCCTCTTGTTTTTGGAACGTAGGAGTAGAATTTCATACTATCTGGAGCCAAATAAATAAAATTAAATTTCGTAATTGACTACTTTAAATAATTCTGCTTTATTAAAATAATGTAAGTGTATGAAACCATGGAAGTAGCGATGTTTATTGTTTATTATGAAAAATAGTCTAATAAACCTTTTGATAAAGTTTAATTCTTATATGTGAAGCTTAATTAAATGTATGTTTAGTTAGAATAACAATAATTCGTCGAAACATGTTAAACAAAAACTAATTAGATAGCTATTTGCGTTTAACCTTGCAATATGATAATGGTCTAAACAAGGTAAATTTTTGGAAGTTAAATAAGCATAGATAGATAGAGTCAACCTTGTAAACAACGGAGAAGCCCATATTTATTTGGCTCAAAAATAAATAACGGATCCGGGTAACTGGAGTTTGGCAATAGGTGTACCGGCAACATACAGACATGAAAAAGAGAGGTATGGGAAAGAAATATGAGCACTTACTGGCAATGGTGATGAACGTCGTTATGTAGGTGATAATGAGGATGAGCAGGGGAAGCAGGAACATCAGGATCAGGCTGAGGATAGTGTAGAGTTGCTCTTGCCAGGGAGCTGTGTAGAAGGCGTAAGTGACGCACTGGTAGAACTCCTCGATGAAAGGACCTCGCATCACACTAAAAATGATCGTCTGTAAAAAAAAAAAAAATATGAAGTTTTGAATCCCATTTATATGGTCGAGATAATTATATCTATCAAACAAACATGTTGAATTTCCTTTTAGCATTTTCTTTCTTTCTATGCTCACGATCCAGGTTATCATTGGGTTCTAGTTTTTAACATTTAGCAAATTCAAATGAAAACAAAAAATTAGTTTGTCATCCATTAAAAAATTGTTTGATTAAAATTTACCATTCCCTTGTAAGGAATTATTGCAGTCCCACATTGAACCTCTTGTAAGTGACTAACACCTCTGGTAGCAAGTAAATCATCTATGATTCGAAATCAATAAAGGGCAGAGCTGATGTTTCCTGTCTTCGAACATCCAGAGGTGTTAGATTTTGGCTGAGCACAGAAGCTCAAGACAGTTTAAAACTTCTATGCAAGATAAGGCTGGGCAAACGTTTTATTGCGAAAAAAGCAAGGCAAAATTGATGAGGCTGGGCAGAGATAAATAGGGAAATTTTACGAAACATTCGCGGCCTGGAATTTACATTAGCAATTTTGAAATTTTAATTTTAGGATTCAAATTAATTCGAGGAGGCCCAGAAGAATGTGTATAAAAATGAAGAAAGAAAGAGCTAATTAATATTATTTAATTAAATAAAAATTATATTACTTATTTTGATACTTTTCTGTTAACGAGGCGTCAGTCTCTAAATGTGGTAGCCTCTTCATATCGCGATATGAATAGCAGTGCAGTGTTTACTGTGTGGCATGCTAAGGCTTTGCGCGATAACGAATCTGTGCAATTTTTTGATATTTTTAAACGAAAACATTACAGAATACAAAACTTTGGCATCATGCATAGCTTCGACATTGTGCAAATTAAAGATTTTATATATTACTTTTTAAGATACATTGCTGTTATTCCATTCCATTCCATTCCATTGACGGAAGACGCGAGCACTGTACCTTTACCATAGGGTGAATCAGTTCAGCACCGCGCCCCCCAAGATCTAGAGCAGCCAAAGAGGCCACATGAGAGCCGCGCACAGAGAGACCAAGCCCAACGCCGGATCCACCCAGGGCAGTTCAACGAACCAAAGGTCCATAGGGGACCCACACCCCGTCGCTCAGGCGTCAGATTTATAAAAGAAATATTTACATGGCACATTGCTGTTATTACAAACTCATTTGCTTTTCCACAAAGCTTTATGTATCGTTAGGCGTGTCATTGTCTAGTTAGAGTTCTCGCCAAGTTCACGTTTGGCGCTGCATTGCTCAGAAAACTACTCATATTTTCAATGGAAATTTGAATTTAACTAATCAAATCCTCGAAACCTTTTAGTAGCTCTGTTTTAGAAACTTAACATTTAATCAGGCAGTAGTTTTACTTATTTTACTTTAAATAACATAGACTTTCTTCATTCAGTAGCACTATTCCAAATTGAATCACTTGATATCAAATTGTTTGTCAGCATTTATGGTCACGGAAGGATTTTTTTATAGAATTTCGGGAATAAGGTTTTTGATATGCCAAAAGTCCAGAAAAACTTATGGTAATTGAATTTTCTAATTTGAATTTTGGAATTAGATTACTTTGCAGCTTAAAATCGACGAAACTGCAATGGAAATATCACAGAAATTATTTAGTACAAAAGAAATCTAACAAATAAAAGGCATTAAAAATAATAAAGAAAATCAAAAATTCATGGAATTATTCGATATTAAGGAAAAATCTGACAAATGAGAAATCTTAGAAAATTCTTAGAAAATCTTAGAAAAAATCTTAGAAATCTTAGAAAAAGATTCGCGAAACCAAGAGCGGAAATTTACTTCGCAATAAAATTACTGTAATAATGAGGCACTAGAGTTGCAGAGAATTTCTTATTGTTAGAAAAATAATTTAATTCAGATATTAATTCTATAAATTTTTAAGAATTGCTGTAATTTTTTATTAAGTAGCAAATACTATCCTCAGCGATTTTATTTTAAGAATTACTCTGCTAAGTCATTCATTTTCTTCCCAAGTTTCAAAAATACGGACTAGGTTACTCTTATGATTTGGAGCCGAAGTAAAAGCACTTGCGTAAATTGAAAGAAGATTTTTATGCTATTCAGATTTGAGGTTTAGGCAAAACGAAAATAATACCCCCAAAACATATTTCATTTATTAGAAAACTTAAATACTGCATTCAATTTTTTTTTCTCGTGAAAATACAAAAAAGAAAAATAAAAAGTTTTCTTAAACTACAGCAATCATGTTAAGCTACACTGGTGTGCAAAACGTAAGTAACAGGTGTTCTTTTGGCGATAACTCCACCAGAAGTCTTCTGAGAGATATGAAATTCAGATATGAGAGACAGCATTTTTTATTTAAACTATGATAAAAACAAAGTTGCGCAAAAATGAATGCAAAGCATACAGTATGGGATCAAACAAACAAACAAAAAAAAAAAAAAAAAAGGTTTTATTGAATTCAGAGTATTGTTACACATGATTGTCTATAGAAGAGGAAGAACAACAAGCAGATGTTGTTTAGTATGAGATATGCCCCCTACTGCAAATGCCCCCCTACTGCAATGGTTCCTTCGCACTGTCTCTCCATACTCAGCACCAGATTGTCCAACAGATCTGGAGCAAGAGTGACCATTTCTCAATCAGCATCTGTTTCTGGGTGTTCACCGGATGATGTAATCGTGCCTCAAGGCGTCTCCCAAAAGCATTCCACAATGTTCTATGGGATTTAAATTAGGGGAGTACGCTGGCCAATCCATTCGAGTGATATCTTCACTTTCCAGTAGCTTCTAGACATCAGGAATCTGGTGTGGCCGTGCATTGTCATCCATAAAAAGGAAGTCTGCTCTAATGGCATCTCGAAACATAGCCACTTAAGGAAGTATCACCTCCTGAAAATAGCGATCTCCGGTTACAAAACCTCTGTCTAAAACGCGGAGCTCTGTCCGCCGGTTCAGCATCATGCCTCCCCAGACAAGAACTCCAGGACCACCGTAACGGTCTCTTTCCGTGATGCTAATGGATGAAACCGTGTTCCGACCCCTCTCCAAATCAAATGGCTTTGAGAATCACTTGTGGCACTAAAACAACTCTCATCCGTTAAGAGGACAAGACGCCCTTGATGAGATGTCCGGTTTCTGTGCTCCTCGCAGCACTCTAAACGGTGGCGCCAATGGCCAACTCTCAAAGGTATGCCGTGTTCAGAACAACGGGTGACTTTGTGACTATCTTTGTGAAGGTGTCTGGAGACAGTAAACTGCGACACTTGCCCCGTTGCTGTACACAGCTGCTGAGCTATGGCGCTTCCTGACCGGTTTCGGGCTCTTTTCGCCTTCAGGGCTATATATTCGTCATCCACTGCAGTTTTTTTCCTGGGATGGCCATCACCAACCTTTCTAACGCTATACCTATGTTTTTAAAAAGCTTTCCAAGCGCGCGAAACGACACTTTTGTTGATTCCGAACTCTTTAGCTACACTGGTCCACTACGCCCCTCCTCCAGCTTTCCGATCATTCTTACACATGTGAAATCATCCATGTGATTTCTTCTAGCCATATTTCACCCAAAAAAAATGCGCCTGTACTTGCAGCGGATGTCTTTAATTGCGTATCTTTCCTTCATTTTATTATAGTCTTGAGTTGAGCGCGCCGACCGCACGCGTTTTGCGTACGCTCACAACGCCTGTGAACGTTTTGTTCCTGATATTTGCATACGCATGACCTTTCTATTGAATTGCGTGTTCATTGTGCTTCATTGCAAGAACCCCTTTTCTTCCAATCTTATAGAATCTTATAGAATTTCATCCAATCTTATAGAAGATTTCTAAGAAATAAGGAAAACTCCTTTAAAAAATCTTTAAAAATGACAATATCATACCTAATGAAGAATTTTCCTAATAGATCTTACAATTTAAAAATTTAATTTGCACGTTTATGTTTTTATAAATGATCGAGGAAACATGGGTTGACAAGAGAAAAGTATACCCAATTCTCTAGTTTATCGCTAAGTTGGCAATTTAGAATAAGTTTGAAAGCCACTTAAAACAGTAACAAATATTACTTTTATTTCCTCACATTCCGAGCTAGAAATGTGGAAAACTAGGAGAGAAAATTGACAGATCTTTCTCTGTTTTCGAAGAAAACGCGCTAAATAATTTTCTACATAAAGGTAGACGTGTCAACCTTTCCTGTTGGCACCATTAAATTAAATACTTAAAAAGTTTAAAAGTTTTGAAATGTGTCATTCCATTTTCTGTTCTGTTTATTGAAATAATTAACTTAAAAAATATAGTTAGTTATGTCTACAAAACTTTTGCAACAGTCGAAATGGGCTAATGACGAAAATACATTTTGTTGCTGGATACGGTTTCGTGTGTATTGTCCAATAATGTAAATCATGCAAAGTAACTTTCTATCAAATTAAAATCGGGTATGTAAATGCTTTCTGATTTGATATGTACAGAGGGACGATCTAGACAGCAGAGCGATACAACGATACTGTTTGGTTTGGTTCAGTTTATTAGATTATGACAAAGCACGCAAGGGCTATCTGCCTAATATACGACGCTATAAAGAATAAAAACTGTTCTCTTCGCAAATAAGCTCCCTAGCTCAGCTAGGTTTTGTGCTTCTAAATTAGCGAAGAATCCAGAACTTGTATCCAGACATGTCCTTCTAGGATTAATCTCATTTATTGTCTGTGACTCATAAAATTAGCAGATTGAATTATCGCATTTTCTGGAACTTAAGTCGGGTTTCTAGGACAAAGAAAACATGCTCTAAAAAGTCTACCCATCTGATACGTAGGGTATAAATTATCAAAACCACTACTATTTACATTTACTAACCAAAGTAATAATGATAGTGACTAATAAAATATTTATCATTCCAAAAATATTAAATAAAAGAAAAGTATTTTTGCTTACAAAATTTGAAAAAGCATTATTATTCTGCTAAAATTTCACGAAGGATAAAAAAATAATGGCCTTCATCTGGGCTACTGAAATATTAA